TTCTCCTGGTCAAATATCTGAAGTTTACCGATTGATAAGCGTTATAAGAATCACATTTTATAGCACAGTGACTACAGATAACTAATAATAGATACCTCTCTTTTAGCTCGTCGCGTTGGTTATATTTATAGGCTGTGGAGACTTTCTAAAAAATTTATATTACGTAACAATACAAATTTAAGCATTTACGTACACACATATATTATTGATTCTTACTCTCGAGAATTTTCGACAACTTTGGAGAATAGGCGAGAGTTTCGTAATACATATTTAATGTATCTTTCTAAATATAAATTTAATCTAAACAAACTTTGATATTATAATAAATATATAATACTAAATTCGTTATACCTCGGATTTACAATCTGGGAACGAAAATAATTAAACCAACCTTACTCTTAGACAGACAGGAAATTTTCTTTAATACATATTTCATTAAACCTAAATGTCTTATTTATTATTCTAAGCTTTAGAGATAGCAAATACGCGTTGTATTTCAAAACGAGACCCAAAACTCGAGAGCTTTCGAATAGTTGACTATTATTCTTCTCCTTTATTCTCCTGAAGAAGAATAGTCAACTATTCGAAACCGCTCGGGTTTTGGATCAAGTTTTGAAAATTTTACAAATTTTGTAGATGATCCTGTGTGCTAAATATTTAACCCGGATTTGTATTTCAAACATTAGAAAAAGGTCAAACAGAATATTAGCAAATGTGTTTACGTGAAACTTTTCTATGAGTGTATCTTCGTTCTTTTTAGGAACTAAAATAGCAAAAACGTTCTGCTTCAGTTTCAACAGAAAATTAACATTTTGGGTCACTCTTTTTTGAAGTTAAAAAGAGGAGTTAGTTATTACTTCAAAATAATATTTGGTTTGTAAGAAATTAACTATTTTCCTTTGATGTATGAATGATAACAAGTCAGTGTCTTCATGCGCTCTTTTCGATATTCTTCGTATTACTAATAAACCTTCGCGTGTTGACTTTTTTTACCCGTCAGGAAATAAACATTATGCTAGAATAAGCTCACTAGCTTTCTGGAAGACGGTTGTTTACGTGCTTTTTATAGAGCAGTGTGTAACATAATTTCGAAATACCTTATATCAGAACAGGCTTTTACTTTCTCTTCGTGTGTAATCATAGAGAAAGTTTCACACATATAGAAAAACAAGCATCATGTAATATATAATAATAAAAGGGCGTGTCTGTGGGTCTGTCTGTGTGTAACCGCTATAACTCCAAGAGGAAAGAACCTAAAAACCTGAAATTTTGCACACATACTAAGTGGATCCTAAGGGTGTGCACCTAAGTATTATTACTTATCTACACGCGCGTAGGTGAGCGCATCTTTTGGTGTGGTAGCAAGCGAAAAAACACATAGAAAAGAAATGTAACCGCCATAGCTTCAAGATGAAAGAACCTAGAAACCTGAGATTTTGCACCATACTAAGTGGACCCTGAGGGTTTTTCACCAGGGTATTATTACTTATCTACGTACATGCGCATCTTTTTATGCGAAAAACCACATAGAAAAGAAATGTGACCATCGTATCTCCAAGAAGAAAGAACCTAGAAACCTGAAATTTTGCACCCCTACTAAGTCTACTCTGAGGGTCTGCCCCTGGGTATTATTGCTTATTTTATCCACGTGCATGCGCGTGCGCATCTTTTTAACGAGGCAATCTAACGAAAAACTGCATAGAAAAGAAGTGTTTCCTTATATAACAACTTCTAATATATAGAAAAGCCAGTGTGTTTTGTTAAAATGGGTTCAGAATACACATACTGATATAGTCATCTAGAATAAATCAACCTAATAACCCGAGCGAAGCCGGGTTCTTTCGCTAGTAATTAAAATTAGTCACTAATTTTACATTTGAAGAATATAACATTAAATCGCTTTACGTTTTTAATGTTTTCTTAACCTAATCAATCGGCACACAAAAGTTTAATATAATTTTGGATAAAGTTGCATTTTTATTTCCAAATCTTTCAGTGAAACACTTATTTTGCACTCGTCACAAAGATTAAAGGAGAATCTTCTGTTGTTGAAAGTTTGAGAACAAAATTTAAATGAAATATTCCAGGTGGCTACAATTCTGGTTCGGTGTTAGTATTTAAAGTTGGCATTTATACAGTTAATGTGGAAATCAAACTATAAACGTTTCTGAAGAACATGTTGAATAACGTTCTAATTTATTATAAAGACTGAACCTGTTGAATATCATTCTAATTTTAAATGAAGACTGAACCTGTTGAATATCATTCCAATCTTACTATAAAGACGATCCATTATGTGTGTATGTTAGCATCTATCACCCAGAGTTGGCTGGCTCGATTACCGGAATTTCTGGTATGGTAACTGGAAACTGTTCGACAGCGTACAGGATTATTTTGATTTATGATTTTTCCCGAGAAGAGGATGCAAAAAGATCCTGAAATATGATACATTTCAACATTATACACTTTTACCTCATCAGGCAGTTCGAAATAAAGATAAAAGATTTTGAATCTTGTTCTATTTTGAAATAGAGATTATATTCACGTCCTCATTTTGTCTAATGTTCTTCTATTGGCTTAGGTAAAGATGATAAGCTATTTGATTTTCTTTTAAATATTTCATCAATCGACTATTGAAATAAGAATCTCATTGTCTACGTGTGCTTCAAAAATAGTTACACCATTCGAACTCGAAGTATTTATCTATCTACCTTTGTGTGTTCACTTATTTAGCTTGGAGAAAAGGTATTGTTTTCTGTCGAATAGATGAGATATATTAAGGTATGCAAATTTTTTTGAAGATTTTAATGAAAACGTGTTTTTTTTATAATCAAATGTCTATGAACTTTCTCTGCTTGTAATTCATCTAACAATTCATATCATGAAAACATTAAACATATAGAATTGTTTTATCATGAACAGTGTTCCGAATTTTACTTTTAACGTTATAGAGAATAATTTGAGTGGAAAACGAGGATTTGTCTATGTAGTTTTCTTCTGGCTGGCTCTAAGTTCATCTTCATTAGTCAATGTATGTCTCTTTAACTATCTACCTATTTATCAGGTTATTTCACTATTGTTTTGTATGGCTATCTAGTTATATATATATGGTCACTCTTTACCTGTTTAACTACCTACCTATTTATCAAGTTAATTCACTATTATTTTGTTTGGCTAGTTAGTTATATATATACACACATATGATCACTCTTTATCTGTTTAACTATCTATCTATCCATCAGGTTAATTCAGTATTATTCTGTCTGGCTATCTAGTTATATATACATATGGTCACTCTTTACCTGTTTGGTAAAGAGTGACAATATGTGTATGTATGTACATAACTAGATAGCCAAACAAAATAATAGTGAATTAACTTGATAAATAGGTAGATAGTTAAACAGATAAAGAGTGACAATATGTGTATGTATGTATATAACTAGATAGCCAAACAAAATAATAGTGAATTAACTTGATAAATAGGTAGATAGTTTGTTTAACTATCTACCTATTTATCAGGTTAATTCACTATTATTTTGTTTGACTATCTAGTTATATACATACATACACATATTGTCACTCTTTATCTGTTTAACTATCTACCTATTTATCAGGTTAATTTACTATTATTTTGTTTGGCTAGTTAGTTATATATATATACACACATATGATCACTCTTTATCTGTTTAACTATCTATCTATCCACCAGGTTAATTCAGTATTATTCTGTCTGGCTATCTAGTTATATATACATACACATATTGTCACTCTTTATCTGTTTAGCTATCTACCTATTTATCAAGTTAATTCACTATTATTTTGTTTGGCTATCTAGTTATATACATACATACACATATTGTCACTCTTTATCTGTTTAACTATCTACTTATTTATCAGGTTAATTCACTATTATTTTGTTTGGCTAGTTAGTTATACACATGTTGATTTACTTGTTTGTCAATCTGTTTATTCGATTAGCTGGAATATGTACTCTTTCTTTAACGTATATCTATCTATCTGACTTAATATTTATCTTTTATTTTCTTATCTGTCTACCTAACTGATCTATCTATGTATATTTATATATTTGTACATTTGTTGCAAATTCACAGACTTAATGACGTCGAGATTTTGAATTCGGCTTGTTTACGTATTTATATCAGTGAATTTTGAAATCTAATAAATTTGGACTTCTATGCATTCGATCATTGACTCACTTTTTAATGCTTTCTGTGCCTGTCGTACCATCTCTCTGTTAAATTATATGTACAGTATTAACAACAGAGGATTTATCTTCAAAAGGGGTAAAAATAGTGTCTCATGTTTATGAGTAATGATAATAAATTATCTTCCTTATATTTTGCATTGAAGATACGCCTGGTAGATTCACTGACGATGACGCTGCCACCAGGAGGGTCAGTTCTAGAGGAATTATTCCTCGAGCTAAGATCAAGACCGTAAAAATGACTTTTGTCATAGTTTTTGGTAAGAATTATGTTTGAATACAATGTAACTAGAGCAAAATGCTTACTCAAAGAAATATCTTGTTGTGTTTTTGAAATGTTACATTTTCTAAAGTAAAAATAACTATATAACTTCGCTCATTGAATAATGAAATATTCCTTATTTGTCTCCAGGTCTAAATATAAAATCGTTCCCCCCTCCCTTCCAGCCTGTAATAAATAGTTCAAAAAAGATATCCGGTAGCCTATTAACCTAGACGTTTTTTATTCAGTTTGTATTTTTATGACAGTTAATTATTTTAATCTCGTATGTTTTTCTCTCGATTTGTTGGCTAAAGAATGTTTATTTCACAACTGGTAAAATTTTGTTAATATTAATAAACATTCTGTCCGTCTTAAAGGCCAGCTCTTATTAATGAAGAATCATATATAACATCATTCGGTATAGAGATCTGTACATACTTATAATTATTGAACAATTAACTCTAACCATCATTACTGGAAAATTGTTTTAACTAACATTATTCTAAATCAGCAAATATTTTTAAAGAACCAATGTTAATCCTGATTATTCAAAAGTAATGAAATTACTGCATTGAATAAAATGTATTCAATTGTACTCAATAAGATTATTCAGCAGCTTATATTCACTTAGATATGCGTTACCAGCTTGTACTCTGTAAGATGTATATTCACTTAGATATGCGTTACCAGCTTGTACTCTGTAAGATGTATATTCACTTTGAGATGCGTTACTAGTTTTTAACCTGTAAGATTGTTCAGTAGCTTATATTCACTTTGAGATGCATTACCAGTTTTTAATCTGTAAAACTGTCCAGTAGCTTATACTCTGTAAGACTGTTCTCTTGGTTATATTCTCTTTAAGATATGCCATCAGCTTATACTGTGTAAGATTGTTCTCTTGGTTGTATTCACTTTAGGATATGTCATCAGCGTATACTCTGTAAGATTGTTATCTTGGTTATATTCACTTTAAGATATGTCTTCAGCTTATACTCTGTAAGATTGTTCTCTTGGTTGTATTCACTTTAAGATATGTCATCAGCTTATACTCTGTAATATTGTTCTCTTGGTTATATTCACTTTAAGATATGCCATCAGCTTATACTCTGTAAGATTGTTCTCTTGGTTATATTCACTTTAAGATATGTCATCAGCGTATACTCTGTAAGATTGTTCTCTTGGTTATATTCACTTTAAGATATGCCATCACCTTATACTCCGTAAGATTGTTCTTTTAGTTATATTCCCTTAGAAATACAACAGTAGCTTGTACAATTTGGGATTGTTCCACTCATCTTTTATCACTTGAGGATGTGTCACTGACTTGTACATCATAAGATTTTTCGGTACATTATATTCATTTGGGGTTTGGTTACAAGCTTCTATACAGTCCAGTTTTCCTGAAAATTTACATTTAATAACGGATGCAATATATCCCCTATATTATAGGGATGTTTGGGTAACTTATGTTCGGATGCAGGTTGGTACATTATGGAATTGCTTCAATAACATATATTCACTTGAGAATTTATCATCAGTTGCTACACAGTAGGATTTTTCCATCTTCTTATTTATCAAGATACTCAACATTATACGACTAGCAAACATTGGGATATTTTATCAATATTAATATCGGCAGCCTGTATAACTCTTAAAGTTCTGATCACAAGTAATTCGAAAATATTTCAAAATAAGCAAACTTCCAATTTCAAATAAAAGTGGAATTGACGAGGTTTGCCTGTTCAAAATATGTCTTTGTTCAAAGATAAACAGACTTTCTTTATAACGATTGTTGATTTCCAACTTTTCCATTATTCGAAATACACGTGAAAAGAAGTTTATCATATCAATTTCGAAATTATAACCTTTACATTTACTTTTAAAAATTCAAATTCGATGCTATCTTTGCAAATTATAGATTTTCAGAGCAGAGTACTACACTGCTGATCAAACAGTAAAGTAGAGTCGATAAAGTTTGCTTTGACAAAATAAATCTGTTAAAGAAACATCGTGGAACAGAAATTTTTGCTTATCTATATAAAATAACCAAAGAATGTGACTTTGTTTAACTATATGAATAACTAGAAAAAAATCCATTTCTTAAGCAACTAAATGAAGTTGTATGAATCACCTAATTTATGTATATTTAATGAAGAGAGTTCCAGATAGAATATAAGTTTAATTTCTTTCAGTCTTCATCCTTTGCTGGAGTCCATACTTCGTCTACGATCTGCTTCAAGTCTTTGGATATTTCCCAACTAACCAAACTAACATTGCTATATCTTCGTTTATTCAAAGCTTGGCTCCCCTGAACAGTGCTGCTAACCCTTTTATATACTGTATATTTTCTACTCATTTATGTAGGACTCTGAGGTAAGGAGAAATAACCAAATAATAATGTGTTCGCAATTGTATTTCAGATCTTTTATGCTTGGTTTCAGATTGCAACATAATTGTATTTGAGCATTACTTCTTTGTTATCGTTAGAAAATTGGGTTTATTAGTAGTATTGAGAAACTTTTGATTTAACTTAATAGGAAAAGCGTGAAAAAAAATTACTAATTATCATACTTTCGCCATAACAAAAATAATTCCTTTATGTTTTAAAATCAGAAAATAGAACTAAAAAGATCAGTTTAGAGAGTGTATTTGAAATGTTTTTGTAAGCTTGTTTCGCAAGTCTGATGAAGGATTTGGCGTACAGCCTGCAACTTCGTCATTCTAAAAACAAACAGGCAGTGATGTTCATATAAAAAAGGTCTAAATTACAAAATGCACACTACGTTATGTTACAGATTTGTAATATGTATTTAAAAAACACAACATAGGATTTACACAACAACGTATTTTTTAAAAAATTAACAGATTTCTTCAAAACACGAAAATTAATTTACCCGAGGTGAAACATTATACATTTGCCGTAACGTTTACGTAATAATACTTGCTTTGTGGAAAATTTTTGTAAATTAGTATTATATCTGTTTTATATGACAAAGTATGATTTTATCGAAGCACGAATATGTTGCGACGCCATCTATTGATAATAAACGTAATCTTAAACTAATTTGGGTGTGAATAATGACTTTCATTTAGTACAAGCAAATCTAATATAATAATATTACTGAATATATTTTTAAAGTTCCATTACCTGCAAGTGAATGGTGAGAAAACCTGAGAGTTCAAACTAGGGATTCTATAATTACTACTATTTCCATCATGTGTTTAACAGAATGTATAAAACATGTTATCATGCTTGGAGTGCTACTGTTTCGCTCACTATTTGTTACCTCGTTTGATGTTTTTGTCATACATTTTTATTACCTACTCCTTTAGTAGCAGTTTCATCTTTTATTAGACTTAGAACTTGTATTTTTCCTACTTTTTGGTAGTAAAATAATTCCCATTGTAGGACTTCAATACGCAACGAAATGCGCTTGTCTTGTGTTCTAAACCTGAAATATGTTCATATATAAAAAACCTTCAGCCACAGTTTGAGCTTTTAACTGTCTTCAGTTCTTACTATAGTCTTGCAGAATTCGGTTAAAAGCAGGGACATTTTGTATCAAACTATTACCTCACTGATGTATGATGGTTATTTCTTCGAAGAAAACAAATTTCTTCCCGACATATTTTTGTGTGCATCCTTTTCTGACAATAAGATAAATAAAATTAAACTATTGACAGTAGATTGGTCTATTCTGTATTTTATTGATGTGCAGTTGAACGCGAACGCCAAACTTCTGAGTTCCTCTGTTGATTAAATTACTGTCTTGTGTTAGAAGTTCTGAAAATATTTTAATTTTTTAGTTGAAAGGTTGCGTGCGAAAGTAATTTTCTTTATTTCTTGGACCACATTAGTCCTGTACATTTCATTTGTATTTATTCCTGAAAAACTCTGAAAATATTTACATTTTTCAAAAAAAGAATGCATACTCACATACATTCTACTTAATTAGCTTAAACATTTACTGATACTGACAGTCCAGGATTAATCAATCGAACCGGAAATGAAGTAATCAAACAGCTCAAAAACGCATTCATGAACAATGCTGGTTCACTATTACTTTATGAAACCGAAATCTTAAAAATAAATCTTTTTGGCACTTCTTGATCTATTGGAGATTTTTTTTTTCAAAGAACGAATACAAGTTCGTAATTTCCTATCTGATCTGCCAAAACAATACAAATAACACTCCATTTTCATTCTATATTTTCTAAAAATCAGTTAGATGTGAAACATAGTAATGACTCAGTGATAAGTTTGAAGGATTATACCGCTAAAAACCGGGTTTCGATACTTATGGTGGGCAGAGCACATATAGCCCATCGTTTAACTTTGCGCTTAACAACAATGTTTATGTATGAACTTATGATGTTTAGACTAGACTTCCTTCTGAATATTCTTGATCATCAAAAGCTCACTTGCTATCAAAATTTGTTGTTATTTTACCAAAAATCAGTTTCTACGAAAACATGAAAATGCTTAATTTTTCTTCTAATTTAGGTCTCTTTTTTCTGGTTGACATCTTTTTTTTTTTTTTGGAAGGGGAGGCATATCACTCATAATGTGCACTTTTCTCGTAGACGGGGCGTGGCCTAATGGTTAGTGTGCCAGGCTAGAGATCAAAAGGTTTAAGGTTAGCACCGCGATACAGCCGAACACGACTTACATTTTTAGCTCTGGGTGCGTGTAATACTACGAGTCAGTGCTGTTGTTTAAATCAAAGCTGGACAAAGCTTTTAGGCGGCAGGTGATACTGGCTGACTACCTTTCGTTTGGTCAGTAAGTCAAAGTTACTTTTTATGAAACTTAGTAGTCTCTGACTTTGTGGTATTCTTTTGTTCACTGATTTCCCTTCGAGTAATTTGGTTGGAACCACAGAATAAGAAGCTTGTCATCAAATATAGTACAGGGCAAGCATCTTAATTCTCTTAATCTCGACTGAGTTTGGTGCAAAGAATGAAAAAAGAAACTGGATACAAGTTAAATACAATGGAACAATCTTTATTACAATACAAACACAATCAACGTTAAAAGTTACGTGTATTGTGTGGAACCTGTGTTGGAGTTTTCTTTTTGTGTGTATAAATCTTAATATATATCAATCTCACAAATCATTCCATGAAAACATGACATTATATTCTAATAACAACAATGTCATCCTTCTTAGGACACAGGCATTATCCACGTAACAACGTTCACTATTACTCCACAATAAGGGATGTGGAAAAGATCACTGTCTATTTCTTTACAGCATTCTCTATTAAAGCCTTTTTTCCCCACGAGAAAATGTATATATTACCATAGCTAATTCTATGAGTAAATTAACGGCTCTTTTGACTGATTTCTCTATATTAAGACTAAATAATCAATGTATATAGAACTTTTGAAATAATATATATGTTCACTAAAGTAATAAAAAAACAAATAATATGCTTGGATACCACTCTTTTTTCTCTCCTCTTTACTTTCAGGTTGACCCAGCTATCCCTAACTTCGAAATTCAAAAATCACTTAAAATGTCTCATTTCTTCAAAACACCTATATTATTATAACACTTGCCAGTTGAATAGAAAGTACAACTATACAAAACAATGATACTCAAAAACAAACTAAAACGCAGTATCGAAATTAAATACAATGAATCAACACAACTCAAATATAATATTTAAGTTACAACATCAAGATCGAAATTACGCATAAATAGAGAATAAAATGGATGAAAAAATAACTTAATTAAAAAAAAAGCAAATGATTCCATTTGAAGACAAAGATACATAAAGAGAGTAACATAATCTTTTAAGTAAAATGTCAAATAAAATAAGCTCTTTATAAATCACATAGGAAATTATAAGAAACCATTTTAACATCAAATAAAAAAGGCAACAACAGAAAAAACCCTTACGAGAAAACTCTTTATAAAGCAAAAATAGATATATATATGCAGAGTGCACTATTAAGATATTTATGTATACAACACAAGGAAAACTCAATACTTATGATACATAAAAATGGAACTTTACACCTATTTACAATGAACATAATATATATGATAATATAAGAAACTAAAAAATGGATAAAAATAGAAAGGAAAATATAACAAATGTACATATTTTCTTAAGAAACTGGAGCTCCTTACTCCCTAAAACCTTGACAGCAGGTCCTCCAGTGCAATAGTCGATTTATGGTGAGGTGTGATTATCTGGAAGATCTTATCTTAAAACAAGGCTTTATTTGAATCAAGCTAAGAACATATATTCATGTCTGCACCTACCATCTTTTTCAGGTTATCTTTTTCTTAGTGCATTTTGTTATCACCCATTATTTTTGATAATTTACATTTTTATTTAAAATTTTCTGAGGAAGTTAATGCCTTCTTAAAATATATTTGAAAAATAGGTTTACTGGTTATCCGCTTTGAGCTCAACTTTTGCAATTTAACTTCTCGTCTCCGAGGTTTTTTAACTTTGACTTCTACAAATACACTTGAATATTTATATATTCTCTTTAACACCTTACCTTCCTCATAAAAAATAAACTTATTTAAAAAATACATGTTACTCCGCCAATATTCTATTCATCAGCTTGATCCACTTTGGAGATTGAGAAAAGTGGCAAATTTTGTTAATCGGAGCTGTAATCAGCAATCTGTTTAAAAGTAAGTCAAAAGGATATATTTTCCCTCTCTTGCTGTTAGTGTATAAATAACAGGATTATATTTGCCTGGAATAGCTCTGAAGCAACTTAAGATGATCATGATAATCCAGAAGGCCAAGAGTCTAATCCAAAACGCGAGAAAAAACACTACCAAGTCTGGTAAACATGAATTTATCAAGTTGAGCTCAGACAAACCATTTCGCTTAGTTTGTCTATGAAAGCAAATTAGAATTTTATGTATTAACCTGTTTTTATTGATCTATATGAATACATGCATGAAGTTATTTCAAAACATTTTACCCACTGTTTATCTGCCATTTGAAACGCATACTGGGTAGAATTTCAGTTTAAAGATGACATTGTTTTATTACAATACACTTAAGGACATATTTGAAGATTAACATCTATTTTTGTTAGACCGTGGGTATACTTGATAAACAAAAATGTAATAAATTATACTTCAAATGTTTCTTGTAGGCTACTTATAAATACTTAGATAAAAACATTTTCTAACATTCGCCTACCTTTCGTTTTTGTGTGTGTTTTGGATTATCTCTTTTTCGCCATTTTTGTCTATCGCTTCGTAGTTGATAACTTTGTTTATTTTATGCAGTTAATATTGTTAAATCAAAGTTAAGTGTTAAAATACTGTTAGGAACTCTAAGTTTTTGAAATTCGTTCAGTTAGTTTAGATAATTTTTGAAGTATTTTTAGTTCATAGATTTGAAAAAAAAAGTGTTTTTCACAGAGCTATTTGGATAAAAATGTCATTACATCAGTATGCATTTAAAGTGCATAACTGCATGTAGAAGCTGTAATTTATTTCTAATTAATAATGAAGATAGCAGTAATATTTAATTCGTAATAATTGTAATAAAAATAAGCAGTGTACAAATTCTAACTTATTTATGCATAAGTTCCTTTATTCACTTTTAGCAACTTTTCTTGTTGTCGTTGGTTTTCACGTCATGGCCGTACTTGCTATCCGAAAACAAAGCGCCCTCTACGAGCTGATACACTCAAACGCACGTCAAGATACACCACAATGAGTGAAATTGTTCTAAGGTCTTTGAAATTATCAAACAGCCGACAGGTATCTTTAGAAGTACATCCTTCGGATTCGACAGAAACGAAACAAGTTTTTAAGCCAGATAATAGTATAGAAAGGTCCAGAATATCTTCTCAAGTCCTTAAAACTAAGCCTATTTCTGTTTATAAATTCTAAAAAGAAACAAATCCTAAAAATACTCTCTTTGTTGTTCTCTTTCTCTATTTATTTATTTGTTACTTTAGTTTTAAGAGATATTACTTAAAGAATAATCATTCCCTTTCAACAAAGAAGACAATCTGATTGGTTCATACAAATTATTTAGGGGGTTAATAACTGTTGTCATATTAAGAGGGAAATATTTTACCAAATTACACGTCAATCAATAACATAATAAGTATCGTTTCGAGCTTGAGTACTTTAAGTGGTCTTAATAGAAAGTGACAAAAAGAAAATGGAACACGTTAAAACAGTTTAATTACTTCACCATTTTTACTTTAATATTATTATAACTGGACCAGGACGTACAAAAACAAAAGTATGTACGCAATACTGTTATTGCATTCAGTCGTATTTGTTACAGATTTTGGAGTTTTTTTCTGATCTTTTAACTTTACACATTCCGATGAGAGAATAATAAATGGCTCAGTTCATCTACGTGAATGTGCTGAACTGTCGAACATATTACTACTGTAATATTTGTTAGGCCTGTCATATTAAGAAAGGTTTAGGAATTACGTACATTAACGGAAGTACCACCTTATCTTGCTTTATTTTACTTTTAAAATTTAAAGTTATAAGCTTAGAGATGAAGTTCAATGAATATTCAATAAAAGCAAGTATCCATTATGTCTTCATAAAGTCGAGTTAAATAGATTAAGGGATTTGTATCAATAATATAACATTTAATGATTCAATAAAATAAATTATTAATGTGAGCTTACAAACTCATGATAATAGCAGTGATATTTGTTATGGATGAACACATTTACTATAAATTATCTGTGTGATCTACACACACTCTCTCTTTTTGTATTTAATTATTCCTAGCTTACTGGGATATTATTAGAAATATGTTTATGATTTTTCCATAAATGCATGTAGGTAGTCACACGTGTGATGAATCCAGTATAATAACTTGTGTTGTATATATTAAAATATTTTCACGAATGTGTACCTGCTAAAGCAACTTTGCTACAAATATATTATTTTTCATTCAGTGAACGAAAATGCACGTTTATTTCCTAATATGCTTTTAAATTCGAAATCTTCTGATAAAAATTAATTGTAAGATATCTTAGCTTTGCGGGTTATTTTCTTTATAATCTCCTGCTTAATGTAAAAAGTGAGTTATATAAAACGATACCATTAAGGGATTAGACTAGAGTAAAACAAAGGGATGTAATACCAGCTACAATAATATTTGTATCTTCCTTAGTTCACTTTATTCTAAATGTTTTAAAGTTCAATTGTTTATTGTATTGTATTATTGTTATGTAACGTGCTTGTATGGAGTGTTACAGCTCTTTTATTTTCGTGTTTAATGCCAGAATGAACTTGAAACTTTGAGTATTCCGTATGTGCTACATGTTTGAATTTCATATATATCATTGTACTTATATATATATATATATATAAATGTGTTAGGAGTTTCGTCTGTATTTAATAAAAAGCTTCAAATGGATTTTTGTATATAAGTTCAAATGAGCAATTTATAGTAATAAACAAGAGATTTATGAAAAGCCTCACAAGTGTTTTACTGATGTGAATTTAGTTGTTTTTAAAAGTTATCGAATTAAAACAAAACACAAAACGTTTAGTAAGAGCTGTTGAGTGCTTCCTCATGATTGTAGGACACTAAATTAACACCTTCAAATATCAACATTCGCTGTTGGAATAACTATATATATTTAATAAGAGCATATCGTTAACTCTTTTATTTTGTCAATAGTATTAAATATTTTTACCGTTTTGAACTTCGGTATCCTTTTATATAAGCATATGCATTGTTCAGTTACTTCTCATTAGCTTACGTGAAAAGGGATACCTATTTATTTCTCAATACCTATATGAAATGATTGTTTAAAGTATTTGCAGTACCTAAATGATAAATGATTGGTTAGTGATTTTTTTATGTACTTACTTGATAAACGATTGGGCAGTGATTTCTCAGTACCTACATGACACGTGATTGGTTAGTTATCTCTCAGTAGTTAATTAAATGACAAATGATAAATTAGTTATGTCGCCGATATTGATTTGTTATTTCTCAGTATACATATTGCACGACGACTGATTAGTATGTTATTTCTTAGTACTGAAATAATACAAGATTGGTTGATTATTTGTCAGCAATTACATGAGATGTAAATGGTTGTTTTTACCATCGATGGTATAATGACAAATGACTGATCAGTTTATTTATTAGTACTTATGCGAGAAGTAACTCGTGAGTGATATTTCAACTCTCACAAGGTTTACGGAAAAATAACTTATTAGATTTTTCTTGGTATTTTAAAACATCACTAGCAAGTGACTAATTTCTTCTCTGTGCCTGCTACAAACCTCATAAGTGACCACATACTGTTTCTTTGTATTGTTAAACATACATAAGATAACAAATGCCATACCGAGGCTAGAAATGAACTACAATTTCGAGCTAGGACAGCTGTCATTGGCCTATTCACTGAACCATTCATTATTTCTTTCTTAATCCTTATCAGATACGTCAAGTATGTCATAACTTTTTTTTTACATATCACAAACAGTTAATCAATATTTTTCATTTCTTATCTCATTTATGAAGCTGGTAAAAAAAATATTATTTTTTCTGATTACTTCCAAAATTTATGACAAACGAATGATTAGGTTATCACAGCGGTTCCCAAACTTTTCCTTTTCGCGAACTCCTTGAATAATAATAGTTTTCGCAGGGAACACCTTTTAAGCTGTAATAAATTTTGTAAAATACTATAACTTTTGAACGTGTTGAATTTATTGAAAATATAAAGTTTCTGTAACACATAGTATGTAACATGCTTACAATAAAATCTGAATCTCTGATATTGTTATCAGTTTACAGTAAAATGGAAATATAATTCTTGAAACATAAAAAAAATTGATAACAAAACCATTTAACTAAAACTAATGAGACTTCTGAGCTTAAAACTAATGAGACTTATGAGCCTGTTTGAAGAATAAGTGCTTTAGAGTTCGGCTTAAATCTGGCTCTGCATCAAACTATTTCCTTCCATAAATATTTTAATAAATTAGAAGGAAATTAAAATATTGGTAAAAACTGTAGAACCAGGAAAGTGAAAAGAAACGCCACGTCCACATTTTTCTCGCGAACTCCTCAAAATTATTTCTCGAAACCCTAGGGTTTCGTGAACCACCGGTTGGGAAACGCTGGGTTGTCGCAGTACTCAAGAAATGTATAATAATGATAACTGATTTCTTTATTTTAATTTATGACAAGTACAGCTGATTATTTTCATTACATTTACATAAAATTAGTCAATCTTCCGACCACATGAAATCTGTGACAAATAAGTAATTAATTATTTTTCAGTTATTACACATTTACGACAATAACCGATAACTCATACTCTTTACAATATTTACAACAAATAAACAAGTGTTCGCATTTTAAAGTAATTTTTGCGAGTGTCCAAAACGTACCTATTCCATTTCTGCCCTCATATTCTCCCTGAAAGAGATACCATCAGACATTAACAATTATAAATAGGATACTGAGGGGTCCATACCTGCTGCCACCTACACAGTGTCATTATATCTGTTTTATAATCTTTGTATCGCTAATAGATATATATACAAAAAAACATGATTTATTGTCTGTGTTTTATTATAATTTCAGTTCTGAAAAGTAATAACTTGGTGGAACAAAGATACATGTGCCAAAACTGGGTTCTTGACATAACGAAATCCAACAGCGGTCGGGATTTCCTGTATGTCTTTATGATATATCACGACTAAGTGGTGATATTGTTTGTTTGTTGATATTTGCTAGCCATCCCTAATTTTTAAGTGATAGGCTAGAAGGAAGGCAGATAGTCTACAACACCCACCGTCAATTCTTGAACTACACTTTCTTTACGAATAATGGAATTGATTGTCATATTGTAACGCCCAAGCGGCTGAAAGGGCGAGCATGTTTGGTGACAGAATCCGATCCCGTGACCCACAGATTGTGAGTCAAGTGTTTTAATCGCCAGATCACACTAGACCAAGTACTAATGTAGATTGTAACGTGTCACTGGGTTCTCATTCTAGACCAAGTACTAATGTAGATTGTAACGTGTCACTGGGTTCTCATACTAGACCAAGTACTAATGTAGATTGTAACGTGTCACTGGGTTCTCATACTAGACCAAGTACTAATGTAGATTGTAACGTGTCACTGGGTTCCTCATATTACGATATCCAACAGTGATCATGACTTCCTCTATGTCCTTATGATGTACCACAAGTAAGCGGTACTAGTTGTTGGTGTGGCGATCTACAGTTCAGTTGGTCCAGGATTCGAGTGATTATAGGCTGCTGAAATTACGGAGACATAACTTCGTTAAGAGTAGCCGCATACTAGGCGGCGAGTGTTGCTGACTAGTTCCTTTCTTTAACCACAACTTCTACATTAGGAATGGCTATGCCAGAGCATTAAATAATCTCTGATCTGGCGGTTTAGCTCGTGTCGCACGAGGTTCCTGCCGTTCAGGTGGAAAAAACCAATATCAAATATCTAACGCTTATTATAAGTGAACCACCAATTCTCTCACAATGAATATGTAACTGATTGATTGTTCTAATTCCCCATACTACAGATGAAGTAAAACATAATTAACGATTACAGTATTCTTTAATACTAACACGCTTTAAATACCGCCAAATACCCTCACTTGAGACAAGAAAGGACAAATATGATATGAAATAATAGCCTTATAAAATATTCATAGTTAGTTTTTGTTTTTACTTGCCCATAAACCTCTGCTACTTATACCCTATGATACTAGAATAATTTTGTTAATATATTCCAATTTCTAATACAGTCAACAATTACAAATTTATTTAGTTTGTTACCGAGATACCTAAAGGTTAATAATTTCTTTTTGATGCATTAGATGGCAGCACTAATCATAATTAGGGGATCGTCGATCATTCAGATGTTCTGGAAGGATTATTTTCATCGCTTACAAAACTGTAGAGTTCAACAGTTATCAATATTTTAGTGAAGAAGAAACCTACAATGATTACGGTTTTATCTGTGTTATTGTATCTAACTATACCACATGCTTTATGACTTTTTAGAATTTATAAATGCTGAAAAAAGTGTACAAACATTTTCCATTTGTGAATTAGACGTAGCCTAGTGGTTAACGTGCCGGACTGTGAATTCGAGAGTCCGTGGTTTGTGTCCCGTTGCTACAAGTTTTGATCGTGAGTACGTTATATGAGCGAGAATCTAATCCCACTATTCGGTTAGAGTAGCCCAAGAGCTGAACTTGGATGCTATTGACTCTTCTATCTCTCATCTATCAGCTCAAAATTATAAACGTGTAGCGTAGTTAGCCCTCATATAGGTTTGCCCGAATATCTTAAACAAACAAATAACGTGTTAAACAGCCTAATATAGTGTTTGAAATACCGATTTAGTTAGTTTGTTTTCTGTATAACAGAGAGAAAAAATTGACAAACAGGTATTTCGTTTTAAAGTTTTGACATTATCATGCAAATTATCAACTATTTTTAAAAAATTATACTATTTTACAAATTTATTTTCTATATTAAACACTTATATTGCTAAATTGTAAATTACATATTCGAAGCAAACGTGAAATAATTATTTCAAAATATGGTTTCTTCTGTAAATAAAAAAATGAGATTTTGTTTGTTTGCAATTAAGCACAAAGCTGCACAATCGGCTATCTGTGCTCTGCCCACCACGGGTATCGAAACCCAGATTCTAGCATTGCAAGTCCGCAGACATACCGCTGTGCCACTGGGGGGGGGGGGGCAAAAAAAAGATAGATAAAATACTGTAAAATTAAATCCACTAGTTCATATTAAGTACCAAAACCCACGAAAGCTGACAAAAGTTACACTGTCCCAGTGAGAATAAAACCTGAGTTATATTTAGCTGGGTGGCTAAACACACGTAATATTATAACAGTGTAAATTAAAAAACAAGAAGGAATCCTCAATAGCCGCGGCACTTGAAATTATTTTAGGCAGGATTAGAGTAAATTAATCTATGAGACATTTTTTTACTTTTTATTAGCTATATTTTTGTGCGCCAGCAATACCAAGCGTGGGGCGCGCAGATACCAGATTCGATTTGTTTATTCATCAGGATCTTTACCAGCCTACCCTCAAATTGAAATTATTTTATGCAGGATTAGAATAAATATAAATATGAGACCTTGGGCGTGGTCAAATAAATCAGTCGAAAGGGTTTGACTTCCTGAGTCCAAAACTGTAATTAGAAATCAAATCGGTCAAGATATGACGGAGCTATGAGCTAAAAGTTTGTACTTAAAAAAAAACAACAACCTCAGAGCCATTCTATGAGCCGTTATGCCGCAGCTAATAAAACATAGCTTGATTACGTAAAATTTACAATCTTGTTTCCTGTAA